GCCCCGGGGGAGCAGGAAGGGAGCCGGCACTGCTTGGAAACGGTCGCCGGGCAACGAAAACAAAACTCCGATTGGAGGAGATTATGGGTGGAATTTCCAATCCAGCCAATAGGGCGAGAGGCTTTGGGGAGGCGGGCGGGTCAATAATAGCCAAGCCCCCTCGCTTACCCTGCCGGCTCTGGAACAGATGCGCTGGCCAGGTGGGGTTGCCAGATGGTTTCACACGAAGTAAGGGACATGCTTGACAGTACGTCACAATCGACATGGCATCTTATTTAGACAATACCGGACATTTATATTTTCTCAATTTGTTTCCCGGACAGAAAGCTCAAATCCTGGACTCTCTGGTTCAAAACCCGACACCTGGCAACCCTACAGCCAGGAGCCGCCGCTACCCCCACTACACAAGTGCCAGAGGCTAGAGCAGGAAGTACAACCCAGCAAGCCCAGGTTGAGGGCATGTGTCACAACTTCTCTCTCTGGGCTTTGGCACCAATTCCTTCCCCTGTTATAAATTTCGCCCTTTCTCTGGGATGATGGATCCTGGAGAGAGTTTTGTATGAGACTTAATTCCTCTTCCAATTCCAGACGAATAACCAGAGCCCTGTATGAATACAAAATTTGTATCTGCATCTGTAGCTGCAAAAATGAGCCATGAATATCCGCGGAAGCGGATATCCATCGATATAAAGCTTTACAGTTTGGAATCCCCAACTTCCATTCACAGGCTAGAAATCTCTTTAGCCTGGATCTAGTGCTTCCCCAGTCCTCAGGAATGTTCTCATAAGGAGAGTGGAGCCATGTCTTCACTAAATGGAAGATCGACGTTGCCACGATCAATATTCCACAGTTCAGTTTAGCAAATCTAATTAAGACTGTGGGGACGGCAGTGAAACTCGAAATAAGATACATTGACTCCAGCTACATAATTAACATAGCTAGAATTGTGTATCTTGATTTGACATTCCCTTTTAATATAGGCCTGACCTGAATAACAGAGTATTTCAGTGCCTGCCTTATATAGCTTTAGCATATGGCAGAAACCCTTTGCTCAAAATTTGGTTCCCAGACTGGTTTGTGGAAAAATATTGACATCCCAAGATGGAGTCCAGAGACATGTGATCTAGTCACATGCCCTTGCAGTGTTAGAGCAGCTATTGCTTACCAGCTGGCCAAAATGCCCAAAGGAAGCTTAAGCTATTCTACAATTGTCTTTGCTGATGAGCCATCAGCCCCAGCTGACTTCCTAATTGTTGTGCCTGAATGGCAGGCTATGAATGTTTTCCAGAGTAAGCCCATTTGAAATACAGAATCCTAGTCAATATTCATAAGTAGTTACAAAAATGATATTTGCATACAAATAGGATAATCATATTCAGCAGATCATAACTTTTCCAATGACACCTCACATGACTTATCTTGTAAAAATATATCATAATTATGCCATAATCATATAATAATAATATTACTATGATATATATGTGGGTCAGTGTCACATGGAGCTTCAGACTTCTTCATCCTCTGGAAATATGTGAAAAATTGGAGGCCCCAAACAACTCACATTTTTATGGAGAATATGAGGAGTTGCACATTGGACAGTCCAGAGTGACAGATCTTCTTTAAAGGTAAACTGCGTAGAACAAAAAGGGCACAAATATTTTTGAAACTATGGGGCAGATGTTCATTTTTGTTTTTATTTTATTTTTAAATTTTTCAGTGGGAATGGAAGAATAGAAAGACTTTGGCTTTTTTGGAAGACAGGGTATTTGTTTGATTTGCTACCATTAGAAACTTAAGTCTTTCCTACCCATCTGTATATGATGGAACAATGAGTGGAAGTGATGATATGGCAAATACCAAGAATAAACCCAACCAATTGAAAGGGGAAATGTTCTTTGGGCAGACTGCTCAAAACTCTTTGTTTTTGGTAATTTACTGTATTCAGTTTAAACACGTACAAATACGACTTTGTTAAAGATTGGCTACCTTTTCACTTGAGAACGGACAAAACTCCCACACATACATCTGCTCTTTAAAGAAATTCTCCAGCAAAATCAGGAAGCCAAAAAAGAAACCCAAAAAGTGCACAGGCTCATTTCTGTTCTGTTTTATATGTCACATTTCACATTAAACTAATGTGCAATATTTCAAAAGATAATAATTTATTTCCTTTTTATTTCACATTCTCTTTATTAACATAGTGATGAGTACAACTACTGCTGGTACTGTTATAAACAAAACAGCAGGCATTGGAAATGAAAAGGTTCACTAGGTTTTAAAAAAGACACATTTGTTACTGTCTGTAATATCAAGTCAAACTTTTGTGTAAGAATTAAAAAAAAGTTGTTCATTTTTCTTCTGGAATTTTTATAATTTCAATACAAAATTAATAAACATGTTTCAAATGCTTCCATTCACTCTTTCGGGGGAGATTCCCCCCGCCCTTTTTTTTTCTTTTTTAAACTTCCTCTCACACTTTATCCTCCACTAGTAATTTTTTTCTAGAAATTTCATTTCTCTCGCTCCCCACCCACCACTCCATTTTTCCAGATGTTTCAAATGAGTAGATTTTCATTGTTTTCTTCCCTCCTCTCTTCCCCACTTTGAACCCAGCTTGCCCATTGGGGAAAATTCTTATATGAGCTAGTTTTAATATCTATAATTAGCTGTAAATTAGCCAATATAATCCATGTATAAAGCAAAGATCAATGATGACCATTGCCAAAAGACAAACAGGCTAACAAAATAAAAGGTAGAGGGGTACATTCTCAGCTGGTGAAAACTGACAAGGTACACGAATCAGGAATTTGTCCCAAAACTCAGTAGTTCCAACCAACTAAGTTTTGTTTGAAATGCTTGCCTTTAGTACTATGTCCGATAGCACACTGGATAAGAGAGTAGAAATTCACATACCAGGAAAGGCAATACACTGATAGTCTGGCTGTGGTGTACAATAGGTTTGAATGGCTTTTATTTGCTCTTTTACTTGCTAGCAGATCTTTTTCGTTTTGGTGAATGTTATCCTCAGAAGGTAAATATTGAGTAAAAGGGCTGCTTAAGAGATGTACTTAGTTTTAAGAGGACTTTGGACTTAGAAATGATTTGTTCTTTTGGGGGCTGAGTAAGTAAGTAAGATATTGATTATAAAAGTCAGAACACAAAGAAAGATGGGGGTTATTCTGCAAAGATTTATGCATAAGATGAACCTTGCTCAAGTAAATATTCCCATTTATTTCAGTGGAACCACTTAAGTAGTTACCTACTTGTATTAGTCTTTACACGGTTGGGTCTTCACAATTCAAAGTATTCTTAAAGCTGCCTTATTCTGCTTATGGTTCTTTCCAAATGGTGGTCCATGAAAGAGGAAGCTTCCAGTTAACAAAGGCTTGTCTTTCCTGCAGCCCAGACTCTCTGTAATATAGGCATGGCCACAAGTTGGCGCACCGCATATCTGTAAGGATATTATGAATTTAGGCATACAGCCATTTAGGAAATGCAGTTTATCTGTTTGGTGGCCATCCTTTTACACTCATGGCTGGTGTCCTTGGTTAAATCAGAGAATGTGGTTTTACTGTGGGAATTGTATAAATATAGCAATGAGTTATCTGGTCTGTTTAGAGTATGTGTGAATTAAATGGCATTAATTTGAATGGAGAGTATGATTTTTATTGTGCGCAAGAAATTGTATGAGAAATTTGCTATGAAAGATGAGTTCAACAGCCTCTGGCAGGAATTCTGGCATCGGCAGTCAGATATGCCTTAGGACAAGAAGGAATGTGGAAATTGCGGGGTGAGAACCAGAATCTGAAGCCAGATGCTAGAGGCAAAGGTCATATCAGAGCTGGATCAGAAGTGGATCAGAGGCCAAATGCCTGATCCACTGGGTTCAAACCAGAGTCAGTCCCAAGAGTCAGAACCAGATTATCTGGAATCAGGAAAGGAAAAAGTCAGGTTGGGACAGGGCTGGAGCAAGTCAAGGATCCACTTTTGTTACAGAGACAACCTGCAGCTATTTTCCTTAGGCCTTAAATAGCAAACATAAGACAACTCTAGGGCCCCTGTTGAATATCCAGTGGTACATGGCCCCACAAGGCTCCAAGCCCATTAATCATCACCTTGGCAGATTTATTGGATGTCAGTGTAAATACAACAGTTGCTCAGGAACCCATATATCGAGGTTTTAGTCCTATGGATCTTCATGGTGGAGTTTTATCGTGCTTAAAGAGACCCCCCACTGTACAGCCGTGTCTCAGCCTTTTTTCCTTTGCCTACCTCCTCAAGGGACAGCAAAGCCTTTTATTTTGCCTGCTGCGGTTAGGACAGCAAAGCCTTTTCTTTTGCCTGCTGCGGTTACCCTTGCGGACCCCTCAGCTTGCCAGATATGGAGCCAGAGCTGCCTCTGAGTAGTTGATGGCTATTGCAGTTTGTGCTGCAGCTCATGCAGCAATTTCTGCAGGCTGCCTCCCAGGCCCTGAAGGAACCCAACCCCCTGCTCCACTTGGAGATCCTCCCCGGCTCTCTGCAGGAGTGGTTCATGTGGCTGGATTCTGCCCGCCCTTCCCTGCACACTGTGCACAGCTGCTTCTGGTGTCTGGACACTAGTTCTGACCAGTGGTGGGGTGACCAGCAGTGGCTCCACAACTTCTGCATGAGGAAGGCCACTTTTCTGGAGCTTTGTGCGTGGCTCACCCCTGCCCTTAGGTAATGGGACATTTACATGAGACCCACCCCCCCCTCGAGAAGCGGATTGCCATAGACCTGTGGAAGCTCGCCATGCTGAACAGCTACCAATCTGTCAGGAACCATTTCAGCATGGGAAGATCAAATGTCAGGGCTATCCTCATGCAGGTATAGCGCTCTTGGGCTACTGTACCAGGAGGGGGGTGGACTGCTGGAATAGGATACCCTAGGAAAAGGGAAGAGGTGTACGGTGGGGGTGGAAGCCCTCTCCCTGGGAGATTTTTTTAGTCCTGCCTTCACTAAGCCCTGCCGGGGGATGGGGTAAGTAAAAGGGTTGTTCCTGGTGTGAGGGGGACGAGGGTTGGACTTGGGGACCTCCCAAGGGCTCTGGCCATCCTCTGATCCTCTGTTCGTTTGTTTGTTTGTTTGTCTGTCTGTCTCCTTCTACAAGTGATGCAGGCCATCAACACCATCCTACTGTGCAGGGTCATCCATCTCAGTGACATGGACGCCTTCATCACTGGCTTTGCCGACATGGGCTGCAGGGAGCTATTGATGGCAACCATATCCCCATCCAGGCCACCAACCTCCGGACATCTGTCTACATTCGTGGTCACCAACCAGTCGATCGCGATCGGCTGGTCGATCGCGAGGCCTCAACCAGTTGATCGCAAAGCGTTCTGGGCCCTCTATTTCCCCACACCTCCAAGAAGTCCCACTACCTACCTTGAGCGACAATGGAGGTAGTAGCAGCTTCCCGCAGGGTGGACGGAAGTCCTGCAGCTGCGCGTCACTTCCGGGGTTTCTGGAAATGCTCTGGCTGCTTCCTTGCCCCAAGTCTGTGGCGTGCCAGGAACTTACCGGGTGAGTCTCCAGAGGTGCGTGCTGGGACTTCCCTTCTCTGTGGGAGGGGGGAGTCGGGCCTGGATGGAGCGCATGATGGGGGTTTCCCTGCTCGGCGGGAGGGGGGGTTGGCCCTGAGGGGCACATGAGCAGGCTTCCCTGCTTCGCGGGAGGGGGGAGTCGGGCCCAGAGGGGGCATGAGACGGGGGCTTCCCTGCTCTGCGAGGGGGGGTAGGCCCCGAGGGGGCATGTGCGCAGGCTTCCCTGCTCTGTGGGAGGGGGGAGTCGGGCCCGGAGAAGGCGTACGACAGGGCTTCCCTCCTCTGGTGAGGGGGAATCCTGGGAGAAGGTGGGCACAGAGGATTCTCTGCCCCCACTGGCACCCTGCATCAGAACTCTGTCCCCTGCCCTCCCAGCACCATGTTCCCTCTCCCCTGCCCCCAGCTACAGAACTGTCCCCACTGGCACTCTGCTCTCTGCTGCAGATCCCTGTCCCCACTGGCACCCTGTCCCCTGCTGCAGATCCCTGTCCTCTGCCCGCCCAGCACCCTGTTCCCTCTCCCCTACCCCCAGCCGCAGAACTCTGTCCCCACTGGCACCCTGTCCCCTGCCAAAGCACCCACTACCACCCTTCCCAGTACTATGTCCCCTGCTCCCACCAACACAGTTGGGGCCACATTAGTGAAGTTGGGAGGGGGGGAGTGTTGGAGGAGGTTTTCTTTGCATCTCACTTG